CGTATTTTTGTATTAAATTGATTTCTTGAACCCACGTGTTTTTCTAACATTCTGAATTCTGGATACACATTATATTTATGTATTCCTATGTTTTTGCTTATGTTCAAGTTTCTAACACCAGTGAATAAAGACGGTTAATGATTTTTTAATCTTTTCTTTTCTTCCTTTTTTTAAGAAAACGTTTGTAATCGGCTTTGGGCTTTTGAGAGGGTTCCAAACAAAGCTCTCAGGGGATTGGACAGTACCATAATCTTCACAGACAATAAAGAGTCGTGTCTTGTAGCGTGTTTAAACGAGAATCGCTTTCTGTGTCGCTCTGTGGAATTTAACTACAGGAAACTACAGTGTCATTTGAGCGTTTATGATCGGAGGTCACCAGGTGTCTTCGTTGATATGGTTGATTTCATGGAGGTGGACTACTTTGAGAATTCCTGTCTCCAGTGTAAGCCAACTAGTACAGTAAATGTAATTAACACAGAAAAATATATTTAAAACACACACATTGTATGTATGTTACCTATGCTTTGACTTATGTAAAATCAATTGATACAAAATAAAAAAAACAACATAATTAACGCTTTTAAATATATTTTGTTAGTTTTTTTAAGAAAACTTTTGTTATTGGCTATGGGTAACTTAACATATTTTTATCACAAATATTAGGCCAATTGGATTCTTCTACTACCCCACCGTTCGGTTTTTTGAACCATGACAACAAATTAAAAAGTTTATCAAATTACTGCGGAGAATCTGCAATACCAGTTTAGAAAATTCTGTGTTATACACAGGTTTATAAAGTTGTTGTTTAATGAAACTTCTAGGTCAACCACATCTGAATGTTCGTTTAATTGATGTATTTTTATATATAAAAAATTAACAAACTTTAAATCAAAGCTCATCGAAGAGCTCCCCCCAGTGGCACAGAATCCGCTAGAATCCGGGTTTCGATACCCATGGTGGGCAGAGACAGATAGCCCATTATGTAGCTTTGTGCTTAATTACAAACAAACAAACATCATCGGAGATTTTCAGCAGACAGCGACATCTTTTTTTTTTGAAAAGTTATATATCACAAATATTTTACAAGTAAAGAACTTTGCTCCACCATAAAAACTATTTATATTTTAAAAGTAAAGTAAGGTTCATTATTAATGCTCTTTTATTGTAATAAAAATATATCGTTATAATAATATAGCTATCGCTTTTACTGAAAGAAAACTTAGTATAATTACAAAGTCCAACTAAAACTTGTATATACATGTATATTTACCGTTCTAAAGGAAAACCAAGTTTATTAGAAAACGAATATCAATTACTCCAGTACAATAAATATTTACCATAGGACCCGATATAATACGAGAGTTGTCACCTAGGCTCTTTGTTAAATTTAAAAGTAGGAAAGAATTGAGCATAACGATACAAAACAAATATTATATTTCTTTTTTAGAATTAGAAAGACAAGATTAAAACAGATTGAAACATCCATGTTGATGTTATGTAATTATGTTTTTTTTTGCACAATCTATTTCTTTCAATATGAAAAGAACAGGTTGTGTTTAAATTTATCATACTAGAACCATTAAACTAGTATAACTAAATTAGTTATGTTTACGTAACACAAAATTAGTAAACTAAAACGTCTCTGAATCATATTAATAGTTCGTACAGGATATTACTCACGCTTTCGCTAATATTTTATCTTCACATTTAATATTGCCTGGAGTACCAGGCATTATTAATATTTAAAATAATAATAATCGTTAATTTAAAAAAATAATAATCGTTAATTTAAAATAATAATAATCGTTAATTTAAAATAATAATAATTGTTAATTTAAAATATTTATAATAGTTAATTTAAAATAATAATAATCGTTAATTAAAAAAATAATAATCGTTAATTTGAAAAAAAATCGTTAATTAAAAATAATAATAATCGTTAATTTAAAATAATTATAATCGTTAAATTAAAATAATAATAATCGTTAAATAAAAAATAATAATAATCGTTAATTTAAAATAATAATAATAATCGTTAATTAAAAAATAATAATCGTTAATTAAAAAATAATAATCGTTAATTTAAAATAATAATAATCGTTAATTAAAAAAAAACATCTCAATATTCTTTAACAGAAACTTTCTTTTTTTACTCAAATTGCGTCGTCTCTCGGTGAGACAGTGGTAAGTTAACAGATTTGCAACGCTAAAATCGGGGTTCGGTTCCCCGCGGTGGACATAGTAGATAGCCCAATGTGGCTTTGCTCTAAAACAAACCAACAAATAGAGGGCTTATAACGGTAAATTCGTGGTTCGATCCCTACAGTGAGCACAGCATAAATAACCTACATGAAGCTTTGCACTTAAAAATAAATACATTTATTACGAACTTTGAAAGAAAGTTACCAAAATATACAAATTTTATCTCTAGGATATTATGTGACAACTATAAACTATCATGTATGTCTTTGTCAGCAGTCTATAAACAGCAACAAAAAACACTTGCTTTCGTACTTCTTAGACTCCGTGAAGTAAGTTTAAATTGTGGATAAAAATCTCGTTTTGAACAAATAAAAAACAATATATTTATCTAATAAAGATACGGTTTTATTTACTATGCTCTACCCAACACATAATGCATTAGTTCTTTTTATCTTGTTATTTAGCGAAGGAAGTATGCAGCTCTGGAGGTAGAAACTACGATCACCCGACCCTGCCAATCTCTCAAGAATCATTGGTGCGTTTTGTAGACCTTAATTATTACCCTGACAAGGAATTGCTGGTAAGATAATTGTTTAATAAAACGCATTGTTTATCCTATGTAAAGTAGCCAAATGATCAAATAATATATGCGTGTTCATAATTACTAATATATTTATATTAATCACGTTGATAAGAACGTTTGTTTTCACTTTATTTTTATAAGTCAGAGAGTGTGTGGGAAGTTGTTTAACATGTTTTCACTTTATTTTCATTTTGACACATAGAGTGCAGTGTCAAGTGTTAGATTGGGGTTCTTGAGATGATAGTTTGTTTGTTTTTTCATATTTGATTAATCACATTTCATCTATTTCAATCAAACAGCAGAGCCATTACTTTGTTTTAGCATTCATACCACAATATATTGTTACGTCTCTGTTCGTTTGTTAATTTCCCGTAGAAATTCTTCCCGAGAAACTTCAGCGATACAAGTCCTTTCTTAAATAAAACTAGTTTGTTCTTTCTCAATACAACTTTGCAATACACTTAATTTCCACAGTCATTTTAACTTAAACACACGCTATAATTCACAACGAACGATTCACGCACTTTACTTACTACCACGCTTGACTCAGTTGTCCGTCTCTATCTCTGCCTGTCTGCAATTCAATTCCGATTAATTAATTTCGCTTTATGTGGTGCACTTATATACAAGAAAAGAGGGCGCGTAGAAAAGACCAGAGTTGCCACGAACAGACAAGATCCTTCTAGGATCTCATGACGTGTTACTAGCGTCACGTGACTTCC